TGCATCAAAAATCTTTGAGACATCTTTTAAAATCTAAATTACCAGGTTCTGTCCAAAACCTACTGACAGACCATTTGGGGTAGAGGCCCAGAAGTCTGAATTTGAAGGAAGCACCTCAGGTAATTTTTATAATAACAGAGTTTGAGAACCACTATTGTAAAAGAACCAAGAAGACAACCTATGTAAGAAACACTGAAAATTTAGGATTAAATCCATCCACCAACTAACAGAATTTCATTTTCTTATGCTGGCCTAAAATCTTCGGTATATAACAAATATAAACGGCTCCAAACTCATAAGGGAGGGAAGCTAGCTCTGCTCCTGCATCTTGACCGTTGTTTTCCCCTCTTCTCTCAATTCTTTCATCCCCTAGAATTAGCACCCTTTCCATTTCCATTGTCAAACGCCTCCGTGACCTTTGTTCACTGCCTCTTCTCCTAGGAAACCATTCTGTGCTTAGTTGTTATCTGGCCTCTACCTTGTCATCCTCTGGAACATTTATCTAACACATAAAGCACAAGAACTTGTAAAGCATTTATACATTATATCTCCGTTGGTATTTAAAACACTCTCAAAGAAGTACATTTTCTGATAATGAATCTGAGACAGATGTTAAGTAACTCACTGCTCTAAGGATATATAGCAAATCAGTGACACCCTATAACACTCACTCAGGTTTCCTAATACAAGAGGGTATTCATTTCATCACATTAGACTTGGGTCGAATAAACAAAATTACATTCCTAACACAGATAATCTAACCCTTGGTTGCTAAATCATATGGCCTTTTCTCTTGAATCATTTGCCAAAATCTCCTGGCCATATATTTGAAAGAATTTTATTTCACCTTGGCTTCTCTCCCTTTGCCTATTTCTGGGGGGCAGAGAGAAAAATACTATTAAGTATATTACAAACTTGCCAAATTATACCATCATACACTACTAACAAACTGAACAATTTTGAGAGATGCTTATAAAAGCCAGCAAATACACAAATATTACAAACCTGGAAAATATTCTCATGCTAAAGAGAAATACTCATTTCTTAAACAACTTATCAATTCAAGCTTTTTTTTTTAATCCTCACCCAAAGATATTTTCCCTTGATTTTTTTGATAGACTGGAAGGGCCGGGGATCAAACCATCAAAGCCAAATCGGCCAGGGCTTAAGTATTTATTTATCCTCACCCGAGGATATTTTTTCATTTATCTTCAGATAGAGCAGGAGGGAAAGAGAGAGAAAGAGAAACATCGATGAAAAAAAGACACATCGACTGGCTACCACCCACATGACCCCAACCGGGGCTAGGGACAAACTGCAACTGAGGTATGTGCTCTTAGCAGGAACCGAACCCAGGACTCTCTGGTCCACGGGCCGATGCTCTAACTGCTGAGCCAAACTGGCCAGGGCTTCTATTATTCCTGCTAATTGAATGTACAGTACTTCTAGTCACCTAAATAAAAACATCCAATCTTCTGTTGACTTCCTCTCTCCTCTTGCCCTCTACATCCAAAGGTCCCATCAAATCTAACATGTCGTTCTTGCCACAATCTTAGTTCAGATTCTCATTTTAAATACCCTGTATTATATAACCTATAACAAAAAAGGGTATTAGATGGAGAATCATGACCTCAGAGTTAAACCTAATTATTTCAGTTGTTACATGCTTATTAACTAAATAAATGTTTAGTAACAAACTATGATAACACAGCTTTAGATTCTTTTACATACTTTATTTACATTTTTAAAATTTAAATTAACTCATAGTACATCCAGTTAAACCTTTCGTGAAATCTTGATGCAGGACATGCCAAAAGTCTTTGATAAACATTTTGAAGATCTTATTTTAGCAGAAGGCCTGGGAATTAAATGTTGCTGGTGACTGTTTAAATGTTAGCTCACCAAAAACTATTGCCCCGGAGAAACTACGACTAATCAAAGAAATTATTAATTACTGAACTCCTCCAAATGGCCTTTCAACGATCTCCCTAAATTGTTGAATTAAACAAAATAAAAACGTATTGCATTTGACAGATGCACCGAATCCACCAAGAATTAGTCACTTTATGGTGCTAGGCCCTGAGACAGCTCTTTCTACATGCAACATGAGTTATCACCTATTCTTGCTAAGTATTTTAACTCCATAATAAAAATCACGAGCTTTTTAGGTTACCAGCACAGAGTTATAATCACAGATGAAATGCAGGAGGATATAACCTAAATTACACAATCTTATCAGGAATTACACAAATTACCAGGAATACAGGGAGTGCTAGAATATCCATGGATGAGCTTCAGAGGCTCAATAAATCCCTTGATATAATATGCAAACTTATCTGTACATTTTTCTGACTAGGAGGAGTATCCAATGCATTCATCAATATACCAAAGTTGCCCTGAAGCAAAACAAGAAGAGGAAAAAAACAACCAAAAGGGAAACATGTAAATATACAATATGGTGTAGAAGAAAAAAACTAGTGCCCTGGCCAGGTGGTTCAGTTGGTTGGAGCATCATCCCATACACCAAAATGTTGGAGTTAGTTCTGATTTCCAGTCAGGTCACATAACTGGGTTGGGGCATGTAGGGAAGGCAGCCAATTGGTGTTTCTCTCTCTCTCTCTTCTCTTTCCCTTCCTCTCTCTTCAAAATCAATAAAAACATATCCTCAGGTGAGGAAAAAAAATAAAGAAGAAAAAATAGTACTTAAAAATAAAGAGCTGCCCGGTCGGTGTGGCTCAGTGGTTGAGCATTGACCCGTGCACCAAGAGGTCGCTGGTTTGACTCTTGGTCAGGGCACATACCCAGGTTGTGGACCAGATCCCCAGTGGGGGGCATGCAGGAGGCAGCCGATTGATGTTCTCTCTCATTGATGCTTCTATCTCTCTCTCTCTCTCTCCCCCTCTTCCTTCCTCTCTCTCTAAAGATCAGTAAAGAAAAAAAAATTTTTGTTAAATAAATTTAAAAAAATAAAGAGCCAAGTTTGGATCTTGGATCTACCACTCATTAGCTGCTATGCTTTGGGTAAGTTGCTTCACTTCTCTGACTATTAGTTTCCTGGTTTGTAAAAAGAAAAATTATAATCCTTATACCAAGTATAAGGATTAAATATAATGTATGTAGCCCTGGCCAGTTTTGCTCAGTGGTTAGAGTGTCAGCTGGTGGACCAGAGAGTCCTGGGCTTGGTTCCCACTAAGGGCATGTACCTTGGTTGCAGTTTGTCCCTGGCCCCAGTTGGGGTCGTGTGGGTGGCAACCACTTGATGTGTCTCTCTCACATTGACGTTTCTCTCTCTCTCTCTCTTCCATTCTCCCTCCTGCTCTGACGATAAATGCAAAAATGTCCTTGGGTGAGGATAAAAAATAAATAAATAAATAATAAATAAATAAATAAATAAATAATAAATAAATAAATAAATAAATGTATGTGAAGTACTTAACGTAGTACTCAGCAACTATTATATTATCAACTGCTATTTGCTTTAAGAACACAAAAATGTCTTAATTAGAACAAACAACATTTAAAATAAAGTATTAGATATTAAAATTTATTTTTCTTTTGAATGTAGTTTTATAAAAATATGGATACACTTCGTATTTATTTCCTATTGCTGCTATAACAAATGACCACAAATTTAGTGGCTTGATACAACACAAATTTATTATCTTATAATTCTGGAGGCAGCAAGGCCAAAATGGGTATTAAGAGCTAAAATCACTGAGTCAGCAGGGCTGCATTCCTTCAGAGGATCTAGGAGAAAATCCAGTCCTTGCCTTTTCCATTTTCTTTGTTTCTGTTGTTAACCCTCACCCAAGGACACATTTTTCCATGTGAGAGAGACACATCAACTGGTTGCCACCTGCATGACCCTGACTGTGGCGGGGGATTAAACCTACAATCCAGGTACGTGCCCTTGACTGGAATCAAACTCATGACCCTTCAGTCTGTAGGCCCACGTTCTAACTGCTGAGCCAAACTGGCCAGGGCACGTTTTCCATTTTCTAGAAGATTCTGGCATTCTGCAGCTAAGCCACATCACTCCAACCTTTGCTTCCATCACCACATCTCCTGTGACTCTGGCCCTCCTGCCTTCTTCTTTCACTTTAATAAACACCGTTGTAATTAGTTTGGGCCCACCAGATAATCCAGAATAGTCTCCCCATTCAAAACCCTTTATGGATCATGAAAAGTATCTTTTGCACCTTGGCCAGTCTGCCTCAGCAGTTAGAGTGTTGCCCTCAGATCAATGAGTCACGGGTTCAATTCCGGCCAAGGGCACATACCTCAGTTGCGGTTTGTCCCCAGCCCTGGTCGGGGTCGTACGGGAGGCAATCCATCAATGTGTCCCTCTCATGTCCATGTTTCTCTTTCTCTCCCTCTCTCTTCCTCCCTCCCTCCCACTCTGTCTGAAGATAAATGGGAAAATATCTTTGGGTGAGGATTTAAAAAAGAAAAAGTGCCTCTTGCCATGTAAGGTAACATAGTCACAGGTTCTGAAAATTAGGACATGACATCACTGGGGGCTGGGGGTGAGGGGCATTGTTTTGCCTACCATAGACCCCTTGACATAATTCATCATTATATAAATTCTGGCACTAAAATAAATGTTATATTTACATTGTGAAACATCAAACACTTGAATAACTTTTCCTCATTATTTTAAAATAAATTAGCTTTCTAGAAAAGCAATAAGCAGTTATTTTTAGTTGCATCATTTAATCTCAAATCATCTGTGACTGGTGCATATGCTTCCTTTTACAAATATCAACACTTCACATTTTAAAATTATTGCTATTTTTAACCAACAAAATGCCTGTCATTTTATTTGTCTTCATTTTCATTTTCTAAATCATATTCTTTAGATACAAATGTTCCTATTTGAAAGTTTTAGGACACAGAGGAAGTGTGTATTAAAGAAAGAAATATATGGAAGGTCCTCATCAAATTGGGCTTTATCATGATATCTACTTATATCTGGGCACAACATGCAGACCAAAACTTACCAGAGGTTCTCTATTTTTGACCAGACGGATGATTTTCACTGAGTCTTCCTCATCGTCAATATCATCAGGCATAGGAGGCAATACTGGATCATACTTCTTCTGAGCCACAGTGTCATGCACAGAGAGCAAAGCCTATCAAAGCCAAGAGTTGATTAAAAAAAAAATTAATCAACTATAAAATCCCAAACTCATAAAACTATAAAGAAAATCAAATTGGTGTTATAATTTTGACATAACAATGGTATTAAGGCAACTACTTGAAAAGGAGCCTCCTACAAACAGGAAGCATGAAAAATAGCCAAGGGCAGCTCCATTTAGCTACCACCTTATTCCCAACGACATTCATGTATGACAAGAATCAGCATAAAATATCTTCTAATCTGTACATGCTCTGGTTCATTTTTATAAGGATGGCAGTTGGGGGCAGGGGTGGGAGGGTGTTACTTTTGAAAGGAGGGAGGAAATGAGTCTATAAATATATTGTCAATGAAACAATAGGAGTCTGGACAACTATATACCTTTTCTTTCCTACTATTAGAAAACACAGAAAGAACTGATCAATACAATGGAATAGCTTTCATTCTTTTGTTTTCTCGCTTTTTTAACATTTCGTGTAACATGACTAATATGTACATAAAAGAATAAAATGCATTGCTATTCATGATTGTTATGGTGGTAAGACTCCACAAAACACTGTTATATTGGCCTTATAACCAAAGATGAGAAAAACACTGGAACCCTGACATGTCACTACCCATTATTTTAGTTGAATGGGCCTAGACTTTTTTTTTAATCCTCACCCGAGGACTTTTTCTTTTTTTGCATTTATCTTCAGATAGAGCGAGACGGGGAGAAGAAGGGAGAGAGAGAGAGAGAGAAACATCCACATGAGAGAGACACATGCAGTGGTTGCCACCCACACGACCCCAACTGGGGCCGGGGACAAGCTGCAACTGAGGTACGTGCCCCTAGCGAAAACCGAACCCGGGACTCTCCGGTCCATGGGCCAACGCTTTAACTGCTGAGCCAAACTGACCAGGGCTGAGCCTAGACATTTAACTAACTTCTTCCTCAATCAGCAAATGGCATGATCCACAAATTTCTCCAGCAAGAAGCTTAGAAATCAACCTTGAAATCCCGTCTCTCTTCTAAACTTCGAATGTCCAATCCATATCCCGTTAAATATACTTCCAAAATAATGCTAACATTTGTTATCCTCTCTCTAACCAAAGGTTGGCAAACTATGCCACCTGCTTTTATAAATAACCTGTTAGAACACAGCCATGCTCCAATGGCAAAACAGTAGAAACAGCAGGTAGTTTTTACATAAAAACTGGCAGACCCCTGGGCTAGATCACTGATGTCATCACTTTTTACCTGGAGCATTGCAATAGCCTCTAAACAGTCCAATTGCATTCACCTTTGGCTCATTTCCAAATCCATGATTCACAGACTAACTATTTTAAAACATAGATCAAATCACATAATGGGCCTGCTAATTACTCTTCTAAAGCTACCCACTGATCTTGGGATGAAGACCAAATTGTTGAGCATGTCCTAGTCTTGTATTCCTCTCCAACCTTACCTAATTCCACTTTCCTCACAAAGCTTAAACAACTCTTTCTCATAGAGACCTGGCCAAACATCCAATACACAAGCAGACGCCCCTCAGTAACTTGATCTAGCACCTTGTTCTTTGCCTTCCTACATGTTCATAATTCATAGCCATATATGCATTTTATATGTGTTTAATATTTACTAGCTACTGAAACAGATCCTCTAAGATGGCAAATAAATGATGCTTATTTTTAATTAAGCTCTTTTATTGACTATAATATGTATACAGAAAAGTACACAATTCATAAACATATAGCATGAATTTTCAATAATGAATATTCCCATGTAAATATCCTCGAAACAGGAAATACAACTGAACCCAAATAACCCCCATTATGCTCCTTGCTAATTTATTCTTACCTCTATTCTCCCTGAAGATGATTTGCCTTTATATAAATATACATAAATAGAATTATAAGTATATATTCATTTTCCCCCTGATACTAAGTTGATGAGAATTATCTATGCTGCTATTGGTAGTAGCAGTCATTCACTTTTCACTGCTATGTAATATTGCAACATATAAATACTTTCAGAGTTTTTTTTATCCATTATGCCCATCATTCAGGGACATTTCGGTTGTTTTCAGTTCTTATCATAAATAATGCTGTTGTAAATATTTCATGTCTTTTGATAACATGAGTGGAATATCTGGTTCATGGGTTATATGTATATATAACATTAGGAGATAAAATGTTTTCCAATTATAACTCCACCAACAGCGTATGCATGTTCAATTTGCATCATGTGATCCCCAACATTTTTTGTTACTAGTTTAAATTTGGCCATTGTGAGTATGCAGGGGTATCTTCTTGTGGTTAAAATTTCATTTTTCTTACAGTTAATGATATTGAAAACATTTTCCTTTGTTTACTGGGTATGTGAATATCTTCTTTTGTGAGATGCCAGTTCAAGATTCTTGCACATTTCTCTATACTGTCTTTTTCTTATTTATTTGTAAGAATTTATGATATACTGGACTCAAACCTTTGTCAGTTATGCGTGCTACAAATACATCTTCCCATTTGGTAGCCTGCCCTTTCACTTTCCTATTAGTGTTTTTTAATCAATAAAGGATCCTAATTTTAATAAGCCTAATTAATATTTTTTCCTTTATGGTTGAAGCTTTTTGTAGCCAATCAGAGTTTCTAAGGAGAAGAATGAACAGTATCAAAATGATAAAATATCCAAAAACACAATGGCTTCCAATTTTTGAAAACTGAGGAGAAACAGAGTCTAAATATTCAGGAAGCCCAATATATCCTCTAGGAAGCAGGGGGGAAAAAACATGTTTAGATATATTATAGTGAAACTGCAGAATGCCAAAGGCAAAGAGAAAATCTTCATAATGTCAGAGAGAAAAAAGATAATCAGAAAAAAAAACAAAAAAAACGGATTGAGACCTGACTGAGCAGCAACAGAAAGTAGAAAATTGTTAAAATACCTTGAAAGTGTTTAGAAAAAGTAAGTCAGCCCAGAATTATATATCCAGCAAAAGTATCATTAAAGAATGAGGATGGGGGCAAAAGTGAAGTTAACAGGGATCCACTTGAGAAAACTTTAAATAGAAGAGGATAATGCAACAAGGGTTTTCAAAGACACTGGACATCAGACGGAGGATTGTGATCACTGAGAGACAGGAAACAAACATGGGCCCTCTGATGGCCCCAGTTTATCGCCTGGAGAGAGTTTCCTGACTGTTCTGGGGTTGGAAGAAAAAGAAACCCAGGCAGAACCCAGAAGTCTCCCTGAGTTGAAAAAACAGAGCTGGGAATCCAGGGAGGTTAAGGGCTGACGTTCTCAGGGAAGAGTGTGGGAGAGGAAAGAACTGCACAGAGCTCGGGAGATCTGCAGGAGGTCTCCCCTGAGTCCCTAGCCAAGTACTTAGCCACAGCCTGCATACAAGAAAATTACCAGAAAGGATTAGAGCAGTGGTTTTTACTCTCCTGAAGCCATTTGGCCAGGGATACTTCTAAATTTCTAAACATCTAATAGCATACAAATAATTATCCAGCCCCTAAATGTGAATTGTTCCAAGGTTGAGAAACCCTGCATTATAGGTTTCCCCCACTATCTGAAACTAGGGCACTCCTATGAAACCTTTCATAAACCAAAATGTCATAAAGCAAAAAAGCAATTGCCATTAATTTATATAAAAAATTGTTGAGTGTTCCAAGACCCCCAAAATAACTATCCATAAATGAAACACAAAGAAAAAATATAGTGAAAAATTATGAAAGGACAGCTCTGGCTGGTTTTGCTCAATGGTTAGAGCATCGACCTGAGGACCAATAAGTCACGGGTTCAATTCCAGCCAAGGGGACATACCTCAGCGGCAGGTCCCTAGCCCTGACTGGGGTCATGCAGGAGGCAACCAGTCAATGTGTCCCTCTCACATCGATGTTTCTCTCTCCCTCCCTCTCACTCCATCTGAAGATAAATAGAAAAATGTCCTCAGGTGAGGATTAAAGAAGAAAAAATTATGAAAAGACAACTTCAGTGGCCTAACGTATGCACATAATTGACATTTCCAAAGAAAGGAGGGGTGCTAAAAATATATTTGAAGAAATATGGCAGCAAATATTCCAAACTTGATGGGAAAAAAAGCCACATGTTCAAAAATCTCAGTGTATCTAACCAAAAGAAACAAAAGAAGTAACACCAAATTGCTTAAAACCAGCAATAAAGAGAAAATCTTAATGTCATACAAAGAAAAATAGTGTCATATATATATATATATATTTAAAATAATGACAACACTTCTCATCAGTAACAATGTAGGCCACAAGACAATGGAGCAGCATCTTTACAATAAAAGAAAAGTACTGTCAACCTAAAATTCTATACCTAGTAAAAATATCTTTTAGAAATACAGGGATACTAAAGATTTTTTAGGCATACAAAAGCTCAAGAAATTCATTACCAACCAATTTGTATTTTAATAAAAAATGTTACTAAGAAGTCTTTCCAACAGGAAGAATGACAGCAGATGGGACTATGGATCCCCGGAGAGGAATGAAGAATACTGGAAATGTCCATCATCTTGGTATCTGTGATAACTATCTTACATATACACAGTAAAAATAATAAAGATAGCTAATGAACATATTTTTTTAAAAAGTGATTATCTTGACAGGCAATATTAAGAATAACAGCTATGTATTTTCTTCCTTAGCTCTGGATTGATTTCCATGTCTGGATTACAAATTATACTTTTAAGATTTATAGATATCAAGTTCCTAATTTTTAGTAGCTTTATTTTACAACTATTTTTTGTTAGCAATATTTCTACGTTGAACAACTAAAAATAAACTTGTATTCCATTTTCTTCAATATACAAATTTTCCTTTCAAAAGGCAATACTTAAATGAAAATTATGTTTCCATATGCCATAACTAGCAATTACAAGTGATGGGTTTACCTGTCCCTGAGACAAATCTGCAGGAAATTGAACACTCATCAGGCTCACAAGGTCTCACTGCCTTGGAACCTCTGAAGTCAACTCTTCGTTCTAA